AAAAAAGATCTAAATGTCAGCATTAATTAATTGCCATGTGATTCGACAACAAAAAGAGGAAGCAGGCACTTCAAAGAAAATTCACCTCGGAAGGAGAGGCAAGCAATTCACGACCAACAAGAAACTCCAAAGGGAAATGCACACTTTTGTGCAATTTCGTGCTTCCTTGGCTCCCATAACTAAAACGCATCAAGTGCAAAATCATTATCTGGGACAGCTCCAGAATCTTGACCGACTTGCTGGCAGTTACCACCTCTCCCTGAGTATTAAAATCATAGTTGAATCTAAATGGGTAATCTGCATGGCATGGTTCTTTATAGCAAACTCTGAGGTTTTCACATGAAAAATAGATAACTGCCCCTAACATCATAGAAGGTACAGACAAATGATGTGCTAAACATTTTCTTCCGATGGACTACTTAAAGCAAAAATCTCACTTCTATGTAGCATACAGAATACAGGAAATGGAAATACAAAAATAAAGCAAAAGAGGAAATCATTCCACAACAAAACTAGTAGAAGCCCTACAATAATGTCAATGTGCCAAAAAGGAAAGGGAACACATAAAATAAGACGAACCTTTCCAGAAGCAGATGTTTTGTACCCTTCAAGTGTTTCTGGTGCAGAGAACAACTTAAGTGCATCTTCTATTGTACAAACTTGTTCAGGGCATATATTAAGGTGGAGCAAAAGAAATGGCTGTATGGTAACTGATGCCTTGTTACCTGCTTAAATACAAGATGAAAGTTGTGATATGGTACATAATTGACTGGCAACAAGAATATAAGCTGGAGATGAGGTCAGAACAAATTGGAGTCACTGAAACATTATCTACAGTTTCAGAGGTTACTCATATTATGTGATAAAAATTCTAAAACCTACGAGATAAATCACATTATCCATCATGAAGTGCTTCCCAACTGTCAAATTTACAGCATTGTTTTGATAAATCAGATCACAGCCTTATACAAATTATTTGACCTAATTCAATTTGACAAATGATCGAATCTGAGTAGCTAACAATCCCCTAATTGAAATCATTGCAAAGTCTAAGTAATAAATGAATGATTAATGATGAAATGTTTGAATGTATACTTGGTAAATTGTGTGTTCCAAACCCTGACCCACCTCTTGCCTTCACCACACTTTTCAATTGACCACCAAAAATGTTACTCAACTTTGATGGTACGAAACTCTGAGTTCTTGTAACTGCAGTTTTGTTTCTAGGGCCAACAGTCTCCCAATCGTCATCCTCACTTTCGTCATCAGTTGAAGAAACCAACGACGCAGTTTTTCCGTTCCCATTTGAAACTTGTGCATCGAGTTTAAGCAATTCATCATGCATTTGATGCATGACAAAGCTTAGAAACTCCTGGGCATCTTCTTCCCTGAAAGACATGCAGAACCCCCCCAGTCAAAAAGATATTTTTATTGGACTTCAAACATATTAATGGGCTGACAATTAAAATGATGTAACCAAGTTAGTTGAATTAACTAGGTGGCTTACACAATATATAACCTATCATTAAATAAAAGAATGCTTAAGAAATGACCACGGTCCACACATACATATCAATCACACCGGAAGGATCTAGCTTTCCATTTTAGATTCAGTGGGTAACCAATTCTCAGATAGTGTCATTGGTAAGCACATGTATAAATCATACTCGATGTTTGTTAAGACTCGAACTGTACCTCTAAAATAGTCTTTCTGACAACAACAAAGCTTGACCAGCTAAAGCAACCAATATATAGACATTCAGAGAACACAAATCTATAACTGACCTTTCTTCACTGAGCATAAAATCGTGAAACTATGTTTCATCTCATAAAAAATTTTATTTGACTAATTTGAAAGCAGAAGGCTTAGAGCTGTCAAAGGAAATCATATTTTCTAAAAAGAAATCACTGCGGGGAAGATCTACAGTGCCCTGGCACTAGGAGTATAGGATGGGAACTCAAAGCATCACGCTTGTACTGATTGTAAGGTTTCCACAATGAAAGTGTATGCCAAATATATTACCAATTATCATAGGTCAACAAAAACAAAACTATGTTATTTCATAGGGGTACCAACTTCAATCCAGCCATCAGTTGAATTAATTAACCCCATTAAAATTGGCTCTATAGAGAAGAGAGAGAGAGAGTAACACGTTGACCAGTATAAAAGTCAAGGAGAAAAATGCAAACTGACCCACTGTACATAATTTGGAAATAAAGGATAAGGTAGCATCACGTAAATATGCACAAACCTAGGTCTGCCTGATAAATTATCCGGAATATCAGGAGTGAAACTTTTCAATATGGAATCGAACATGATAGGTTGGAATGGCTTTCCAGTTTCTAGAATAGACTTCTCATCCCTTTCATTGATTTCTTCGTTATATATGTTGAAGTTGGAGATAAATTCAGCAAATGCATGCAATGTTGGATAACCAACCTACAATGACAAGAAAAATGCAGTGCTCATGAGTCATGAGTTGCCATGTATGATAAGTAAATTTATGTAGCAGATATTGATTCTACAGGCACCTCGGGTATATCACGATTCCTCAGCTCGTATAAGAGTTCAAAAAAGGGAGAACAAGATAATAGAGCCTGGAGAGTTGCATTCAGAAAGCACAGGTTGCCCAAGTTGACTAAACCACAAGGCAAAAAAGTCCTGGGAATAATCTTAAGCCTATTCAATTCCTTGAACCTACCCTTATAGGACTCCACTTGGTGAACTCCATTTGCAGAGTTTTCCAGCAGAACATCTTTTAAGGAGGAAGATAGTTCACCCACACTATGGATACCTGGCTTCTCCAAGGACAAGTTGGTTGAAAATTTAGGTTCACTGCTATAGCTTAAAGATTCAGGAAATTCTATGATGCCTAAATTCAGTTCCTCTGCACCAGGATGTGTGCTAATGGTGCATCCATTTTCCTTCAAATAAACAACTTCTAAACCCAACGCACTTTCAGTACCAGAAAATTTTGTTGTGTCAACGGGCATAGGCTGCTCATGGGTTCTAGGTGAATAAAGCTCTGAAATCACTCTGTTATTGACAATGCCCACAGATCGTAAAGTTTCTGCATCCAAAGAACCGAATGTGATTTCTGAATCAACTTTTTGTGGCTTGCTTATGCACTGCATGGATCTGACCTCCTCTTCAGTAAATGATCCAAATATTAGCATCTGGAGAGAAACAATATGTGACAATGAATAGACTAAAGAAGTTAACTGCTTGAAACACAAAAACATGTCTTTCATTAATCAATGGAATTGAAAAAATACAAAGATTCTAACATAGAAGCTAGTCCAAAGATGCTATTATCTCGGGTGTAAGTCCACATGGGGTAAACAGCATGGTGCCATGGCTCACTAGCAGCATCTAACAAATTTCAGACTCAAAATAAAATGTAATTAACCAGCTCACAATAACTCGAAAACATATAATATTGATAGATAAAAAAGGAAAGGTGGAAGTCATCGTATACATAACACATGAGCATTCAGTACATTGGGAAGTCAATGAATTGAACTGTTTCGAACATTACCAAAATTCTTCAAAATCATTACTAAAAAGGAGGTGACATCTTCAAGAAAATAAACTAATTCGTTCGTTATATGTGTCATAAGGTCGGTATCAATATAGGAAAATCTAAACCAGAATAAATCTTTTTTCTGTTGCATCTCACTTACTCTCAATTTCATATTAGAACAATATTCAAAAACGAATGCATAATTGGTTTAGCAGCACAAAACTGATGATTTGTCAATCCCCTCTTATCTCCCTAGTTTCCTAAAACAATTTTCTTAAGTATGCAATTGGAGATGGCCATTTCTATGAAATTGTCTAACCTATTTCTTTTAACTAGCATAAATAAGCAAGGGTATCGTTAATATGACCAGAGTGTGTTGTTGCTGTTAGGTCGACTATTTTGTTTTGAGACCAAGCCACTACTTGCGTGTGTACGATACCCCGGCATTGTGCAACATGCTTGCAAAGGAACTATCGACACTCTTCATAAAGAGTATTTACAAGCCACAAACGTACACTATTTCATACTTACAAGTTATAACATTCTTATACCTAGGTTAAGTCCAATATATATATAACTAAAAGAAATAACAAAACAAAATTAAATTTTGAAATAATCCCTTGTATTTTGCAGTAGAAAGCTTCCATAAACAATGCAATAAAAACCAAATGTTACATTTTTATCCCTTTTATATCTTGATTTGATCTTCAATCCTACAAAATTTATCAATTTTATTTCCTGGGAATTTTTTTTAGGTTTAAATCTGAATGTAAAAAAACATTGGAGCTCCCACAAACTTTCTATTTTCTACTGAAGTCTTTAATTACTCTGTAAAACACATTGGAGCTCCCAAACACTTCCTATTTTCTACTGAAGTCTTTAATTTCTCTGTTATTTTTCCCTTTGTCACCTCAAATAAAAAAAGGTAACAGAAAGAACAAACTGTTTAAGAAAAAAACGCAAAGTAAGAATATCGTCCAAGCTTCTAATAAGCCTTCCATTTATGTGAGACCAACACCATCCCAACATAGCTCCACGATATAATTGTTTTCAAATGCATTTGGGACATTTTATTCTGAAATTACATTTAGACATTTGCTTTTAACCCCCTAAAGTTTCATAATATATCCAATCAAAACCCTAGCACACCGCCATATCTGTGGCAGCTCAAACCTCCGAAAAAAGCTAAACCTCAACACAACTCCAAAGGAAGACTTCTCAGCATGAGTCTCGTATAAACGTCATCGATTGTCCGCAAACATGTCGAAAATAGATAGAAATTGAAACAAACGAAAAATAAAAAGAAGGAAGAACCTGAAGATCAGTCATATTGAGAATGGAAGCGCATAGGACGTCATGAAAGAGGAGGAGACGCCGGCGAGGATGAAGCAGTGCCGTTCGCTCGAGACGATGTTGGAGTACAACGAGAGCGAAACGACAACGGGAGACATGAAAATGGCAGTGATGAAAGAGAAAAGAAACGAGTGTGGAAAATGGAGAGTGAGAGAGAGAGAGAGCAGAAATGGAGAGAGAAACAATTCGACTTGCAACAATTTTCGTTTAAACTGATTAATACTAGATAAATATAAAAAAAAAAAAAAGGGTGTAAAATCAATGGTGTGCAAAATCATCTCGATCGTACTCGAACGACTTGGATCTGCTCTCGACCGGTTCAATAGACCTACAAAACGAAGTCGGGAGGTATCTCGACGTAGAGACTTCGACAATCAAGTCAGTATATGGATGAAGAAGACGATGAACATTAATTGTGTAACTTGTATGTATGTAATAGTGTGTAGAGTTCGGATTATCATACCTCACCCCCTTTATATAGAGGTGTAACTTTATTGTCCAAGACTGCCCGATTGGGTTGTCCGATTACTCGAGCTACATGTTTGTACTACCCAAGTGCCCAAACTGCCGGATTCTGTTATGCCACGTGGTCTTATCCACGTGTGGTTCTTATCCTAATATTATTCTTTCTTATCTCTTAAGTAATGTGTTAACATAAGTCTGCCTTATTAGACGGTCTAATGATGTGACCAGCTAAACATCTTGTGACCCAGGTTGCTCCGAGCTCCCAGGTGTGGACTTTATCTGTTAGGTCGCGCCAACAACCTTATTGCCTCCAGGTCGAGTTTCTATCAGGCTAACTGAGAGCTATTAGACCAACCAAGAGCCCTAGCTCGACAATGTCCTGGTACACTCCCTTGTCTGCGAGGTCACCATCGGCTTGGTAATTCGTCGACCTTCGATGTCTTACAGTCCGAGCAACATGCCGAGTTGCCCGGTCCACTTGTACTCGACCTAGTATGGTATCCCATGTCATTTGGTCCACCACATTCTGGTCGAGTTGGGATAACTCGATCTAAGAGTAGCATTGATTGTCTTTAGTCGTATTCAGTGAGCTTGCAACTTGTTTAATCGACCTTTCGACATTTTCTTTTGTCTATTTAGAATAATCATATGGACCTAAAACCTAGGTTTTGAATTCAAATTTTGTAATTCAAATTTCGGACAGCTTGCCGGGTTAATCTGACATCCTTTCGACGTAATCGCCTCATTTCTCGTCCCGTCTTCGTACAATGCATCCACTAAATGTTGCGTCAATTATGTCGTTTCGATTTCCTTTTTATCCGACGGTTTTAACCGAGTTGCCCCCTCAACTCACTTCTTCATTCTCGCCCCTCTATTTAGATATCAATCCAACAGTCTAGGTCGACCACCCTGTTGTAGCAAAATATATTTTTTACCGAGTACCGAATTTAATGATTCGTTCCTCGGGTCGATCTCTCGAGAAAGGTGGTTCGAAATTTAACTTTGATATCGATCACACACAAAAAGAAAATAAATCTAAACACTCTAATCAAGATAGTGGGTTTTGATTATCAACTACGAAAGAAAACTCAAACAATGCAAAATCGAACTAAAAAGCAAAGACGAAGATCAAATGATGATAAGAAGCTAAGGATTCGGGGATGACGATTTTCTAACCAATACAAATATCAAGCTAAGATCATTTGGTTGAGTGAATTGAACAACCTAATGTCTAGAAATTAGTCTCAATAACTCTTCGTAACAAGAGGGCAACTTAGACGGTAAATCAAACAAATCACGCAACACATAGGCAATACGTTGCCGAACAAGTCTATTTCATGCGAGCCTAAATCGATCAACTCCTCCCCTTTCGGTTCTAAGAGTTGATTAATTATCCTAGTCGATCATTAATCTACTAGTTCGTTGGATTTAAACACATCACACAAGAATGAATTATATTCAATTGGTAATCAATTGCAAATCGAAGTGTCACTCTTCGGCAATAATCAACATTCAATGCACGAGAATGATAAACCCTAGTTAAGCACAACTCGCATAAATTGAACGATCAACAAACATGAAAATCACAATAAAATTTTAAACATCATCATCATCCCATATCCCTAACAAAACGAATTAGCTACTTATATGGAATTCAAAATCAACAATCTCAACAATCAAAGCCATCATATTCATGGATTAGATGAAAAGAGAAACTTACAATTAATAGAAATCTAATATTTGAATCCAATGACAAAGCTAAATCCAAAAAAGTAAATAGAGAATTGAGCAAAAAGAACGATCTAAATCCGAGTTTGAGAGAATGAGAAAGTGAAACAACAATATTGGGGATTGTTCCTTAGGTCTGGGGGGTCGTTTTGATATATAGAGCTCGAAAAATAGAGCTAAAACGAGCAAAATAGAAATAGGGCTGACTCAGTCGCGACTCGCGAGTCACCCGGGCGCTGGGACTGGGCGCTGCGCGCGCTGGGACAGGTCGCGAGAATGGATTCACGTGCGCGAGCTTACCTGCGAGTTGGGTTGTTCGCCTCTGTTAAGATCGTGAGGCGCGAGTGTAACATCCCGCTATTTTTAATACATCAGAGTACGCCATTTTTGCAAATTTTCTGAATAAATAAATAAAACACTTATTTTGCGAAAGCTGATTCGGGGGCTACCGTGAAAAACTTAATTTCTGAAAAC